CATTATTCATCTCTGGATTTAAATTCTGTTAATTCCCCTTTTCCACTTCACCATAACCCCCGTCTGTTGCCTCGGACGCCTCGTACCTACAGATGTGGATTCTCTCACTTTACACCAAAAATGGAACCAACTCCTACCGACCCCTGGTTAACGTGTAACGTGCTGCACTTCGACTAGCAACGAGGTTAGCGTTTAGATTAGAGAGTCAAGGCTGGCCTTTGTCTCCCCAAAAACATTCCTCGGATTCCTGACGTTCACTTTACACTATGGACCTTGCGCGTGGTTCGCATTTGCATAATGAGCCGAGATCAAGAGGAAGCTGAGAACTGAGGCGGCTTTAGGTGTAGAGCTTTAGCACAGTGTGTGCCTTTCACAAAATGTACATGCAGGCTACTAAGGTGAGATATTGAAGACTTAAGAAATGAATGACATCAGTATAAATAAGTTCAAAGACCAGTCACACTGCAGAACAGGCCACTTCATCAACCTATGTCCCCACAGCTCAGCTCCACTAACAACAAAGATGGACCACACAGACTTTTCTGGCCCAGAAAGCTTCCACTAAACGATCACTAGGCTAACAGATTAGACTTTATGGGTTTTTGAAAATAAAACATATCAGTTTTACAGTTGTTTGATAAAATCCTGTCGTTAAATGTCTGTGCAGATTTGAATAAAAACAATGATACGATATCTCTCGTCTATCCTGTTGCCAAGGAGCTCAGCCGTCAGCTGCCGCTCACTGATCACTAAAAAAACCCCAGGTTGTAAAACTGTGACTTGGGTAAACAGAGTTTTTAACAAAAGCCCGGTTGTTGTACGTGTGAGATGACCAGACACTGAGAACCTAGTGGTGAGAACAGCGACGGCGGTTTCACCTCCGCTCTCCTCCGTCTCTGTGTCAACAGAGGCAGGAATGTGACTGAACGGGCTGATCTGCCATCACACCGTCCTTTCTCCTCCTCAGCCAGCATTCTCTTTTTATTCTCCTGTGGCCCCATTCCTCCTTCACCCTGCTCTGCTTCTTCTCACCACACCCTCTCATTTGGATTTCTCACACTTCTTTCTCTTACTTTCTGATGAAAATAGGTTACATTACGCCCCTGCTCCCTGCCCGAGGGCTGGGTGACTTGGCTGAAATCAATTTCAGTGATGACATTAAGCTGAAACTGATGCACAGATAACTTTAGGAAGAACACAATGGTGTACATCTCAAATATTTCGTCTTATTTTAAAAAGCTGAAAGTTGATATTATCAGTGCTATGAATTATCAATCATAATTATTTATGAATACATAATTATCATAGATTCAAATTATTATTTTTATTTTGTTGTAATAATAATAATAATTTAAAAAAATTAACTAATTTTAAGGTTGTTTAAAAACATAACCAGAGACTTCCTGAAGTATAAGTTAGTCATTTTCATTTCCTTGTATCAGCGATGTCATCCTAGACAGCCAGTATCAGTTACCTGCTGTGACTCATGTTGATGAGGTAAACACAGGGTCTTCTTGTGTATAGTAACCACTCCACACTGCACTGGCAACCTTCGCCCTAATGTGTGGCCAAAACACTTATCTTATTTTTTCCAACTCATGTGGAACGACTGGTTTGTATTTAGCCTGAGGTGAAAGAAAATAATCAGCAGCTTCCAGTGAGCCAACAAATCCACGAGCCCCCCACTTCAGTCAAATCATAGAATGTTTATAAAAAAAATAATGAACATAGCTACTGACCAACACTTCAAACAGAACATTTATTCACTCAAACTTCTCAAAGCAGCTCTTGGGTCTGTTCTGTGAACGTAAAAACAATAATTTACTCAGGTCTGAACTAAATTGTTTGTTATGGGGTTTTACCAAACTGAGTTCTAATGTGACAAACCTGAGTTTTAGATCCAATCTTATGGTTTTGTGCATCACTTCGTTGGTACAAATTTTTACAAAACACATCCTGTATTTTTTATTATTATTATATTACTATTACTACAGACTTTGTTATTTCTGGTTAGCATAACTTAGATTTAGATTTTAGAAATGTATATTTGGTTAGACTTGTATCTAATGTGACCTTTGACACTCAAATTTGTATGATGTTAGTTAGTGAGTTATGACAGAAAATAAAGTAAAAGTTTTTAATTTAATCAGTAATTTAATGACTGTTAATTTAATGATACGTTACTAAATTAATGTTTTATATTTTATTTTCATATACAGCTGACTTAAAAAAAACGTAATGCCCTCAGAAAAGCTGAAAAGATTCTCTTAAGTCTTATTCTGAAAAAAAAAAAGCAAAAGGAATGATGGTAAACTTCCTTTTATCTGTGGATATGTATACTCCATATAAAACCACAACATGGCTCGTAGTAGTGAAAGTATTACCAAATGTGAAGTACACACTGGTAGTGCCTGAGTCACACATTAAATAAACGGCTGTCAGGTGAAGCCAGTGTGAACAGAATGTAAACCGTGACAGCAGCGGAGCCTCCAGCACCTGCTGCTCCCGGATCGTTGCGTCACACCCACCTACCTATCCGGTCAGTCAGTATCGGTGCGCGTCGAAACCGCCGGCTTATTTACACGAGGAGAAAAATAAACAACCGAGTGTGCTGCCTCACAAACACCGGACGACGTCTCTCTGCGTTCAATAACAACGTCTCACATCCTCTTTACGCACACAGATCCAATTATAGGAGCGGGAGACAGGAGCGGTGCGCTCCGGAGCAGAGACGCGGTCAGAGCTCTGGAGACGCCACAAAATCATTTTATAAATACATAAAAAAATAATAACAATAATTAAATAAGCTAAAAATGACTGTAGTGGTCGAACACAAAGCCACAGGTGTTTGGAAAAAGCGAAGCCCACGAAGTCACTGAACATCAAACACGGAGCAGCTGCGTTAATACTCACTTTGACTCTTCTTCAGCTCAACCTGCTACAATAATCCAGAGTCCAGACCCGGAAGTCCAGAGCTACCTTCTCACTCTGAGTCTCCTCTGCTCACACTCTTCGGTTGAATTAGATGCTCCTTCCTCACAACAAAACTGAGAAAGAGGGGAAGAAGAAGAAGAAGAAGAAAAAAAATCAACCCCACTGCTGCTGCCAACAGCACAACCTGTTGCCAACACTTCACAGACTCCTGGCCCCGCCTCTGCAGTCACGCTATTGGTGGAGATCGCAACGAGGAGGCGTGGCCTGTCGCTGCCACTCCATCGCTCCCTACCAATATACCAATAAATAATTGCTTTTATTGATATATAATTGTAATTCAAACTTTCCTGATATCTTTATAAAGATATATTTAATTAAGATTGGCAGTTAAGCCTTTATTTATCAGGCAAAAACATCACAAATCGTAACTTTTGACAGGTCAGCATAGTCTGATTCTCCTTTTCATACTGTGTTAGTTTCAAGGTTATATCTGGACTGCAGGAAGGTCAGCCAAGCTCCAACCTCTCTGAAAAGTAGTACTTCTGTAACATGCAGATTAAAGTCTTCTTCTTTTACCCATCAAAGATTTTTTTCCTCAAAAACGAATGGCAACACATCAAATTAAAATTAATTTGCCTTGCAGCGCCCCCATCATTGGGAACTACTGCACAAGGGAATGACAAAATAGAAAGCTTTATGGTTTAACTGACATTTTTGTCTGTTCTAGGTGATGTTTTAATTATTGATTGATATTCTTGGATTAGAGAATTCCCTGGATCACATATCACTATTTATTGGTTAAATGTGACTTAATTTGACTATTTATGCAGAGTAACTAATTATTAATGTGAACTTTCATTAGTTTACAAACACCCTGATCTGTAGGCCTGAAATACACTTGTATATATTTAACATGTCATTTTTATCAAACGCAGACAGAAGCCTGGATGTATTTTTCACTCCGACTGTATAAAATTAAATCTGTTAATTACATAACAATTTTAAAGGTACATGTAGGCATTAAAGAGACAAAGGCTCCAGGAAAGTTATCCATAAACATGTAGCCCATGTTGTCGTTCAACCATTTTACAAATTAACTAGACCATAAAACTTAACCTATAAAAATAGACTACCATGTATGAACCGCATGTTAAAGAATAAAATCATGCACTGTGAATGCGTTATGTTTGAGATATACTTCCATTTCACATTTTAATACAATGAATAACCACAAAGAGAGAGAAAGAGAGAGAGAGAGAAAATAAAACCAGACCGAACAGTACAAAACAATTCTCTTTACTTCAGAGTTCAGTACCTTCCCACCCGATGCGGGATTCTATGGTATCTCCGGGCTCCACCAGGAGGCGCCAGAGCAGAGCAAAAGCACAGCACGAATACCAGTACAAAATTTAAAAAGAAAAAAAAAAGAAAAGAGAAAAGCATAGAGGAGGTAAGAGAGAAACAGAAGGGCAGATCGGAGGTGGAGTAAGTAAATGAAGGATGGAAAGAAGAGGGAATATCATTATAAACACATTATACTTTGACAGAAAAAACATATTCTTTTCCCCATCTTTCTTTGATTATTTTGGTCTACTTCAAGGACTCCTGCAGCAGAGACCAGAATGAAAACATGAACAGATCAGACATTTACTGCATTTATTCACATGTGCCCCTCCCCAAATTTTTACTCCTTTTTTCATTAAAAAAAGAAAGAAAGACTATGAACATCTGATATGACATGATTTCAAGGTACTACTTGCTAAGCCAACACCATTCAAAAAGCACTAATGTTTTTAACAATTCATGTGAGTAAAAACAATAACAGTTGGACTGTATAAAACCCCCCAAAAGCCTACTCTGTACAACCAAGACACATGGGTTCGATTCATGATTCTCATCATTGGTCAACTGTGCAGCATGGCATGTGTTTTTGTCCTGATATTTACAACTTTTAAAATTGAAAACCATCCAGGATGAGGTGTAGAGGAAATCTTAGCTTAGCTCTCCTTTGGATGTGACAATAACAAGAAAAAAAACTGTTATCAGAAGAACAGAGACACTGTGTGTGTGTGTGTGTGTGTGTGCGCGTGTTTTGAATGACTGGATAAGCAATGAAAGGATGAACTAGGATTCGTGACATGGCAGTATAAGAATGAAGAATTCAGAGACAGGTCTTCAGTAAATCAAGGAGGGTATGTAGGTGTATCCTTAAAAAACATTCACCAACAGTAGATTTATAAATTTTACAGTTTAGTCATTTCCTTGTATGTCTACAGGTAAATGTGGGATGTTAATTTGTGTGGGTGGACAATTCAGAGTGAGAATGAACACTTGTGGACAATTAACCAAATTGATTGCAGTGATACCTTTTGTTCCCAACAACGAGTGACCCGGTAATATGAGGTTCAGGATGAACTCACACTGTTCTTTTAAAATGTATGATTTACACTGAAGGGATGCTTAAATGTGTGCACCAATAGCTGGCCCTCAGCATACCCAGGCTAAAGCAGCCATTTTGGTTCTGTTCTCTACATTTTAGCAGAGGGAAAAAGCCCAAATTCTAGAGATAAAAATAAATAAATAAAAGAACGCACGTCATAATGTCAACTGTAGTGGAGCCAGTAGAGGGAGCCTTATTCAAACTCTTAGTGTTGCCGCTGTGTTAGCAAGCAGGCACATGGCTGGGAGAAAGTGAGTTTAACCACTTTTTCAGTAATGATTATCGCCAAAAAAAAAACCCAAAACACCTTGATTTAAAGAAAAAAGAAAAATGAATATAATGTAGAATAAAATGTGTCAGTTGCGGACACATGTCTGGAGACCAACTGGGAACTGCCCACCCTGAAACAATATATATTTCTTGTTTCTGTAGAAAATGTTTTCACTTAGTTACAGGATTAGTTTTTAGTAAAATGGTGGTTGTACCAGCAGACCTTAATCATAGACTGGGGCATTTAAAATATGTGAATATCTCCCTCTTCTGGACAGGTCGGTGCGTACCTGGCTGTGTTTACAGTCACTAATTTGAAAATTCCTGCAGTTTACCTATGATAAAACTGTTGATTTTAAAAACCAATTTCTGATTAATTTTTGGTTTGTAGTAAAAAAAATAAATCAATTAGTTATGCAAGTCCATGTTTAACCCAGTACAGGTTCTCTTCCCACTAATGAAACCTTTTCTAAAGCCAGTTTTCGTGTTGTTTGACTAGGAACATGAGCGTGCCCAGTCAATGCCAATCAGTGCGGTTGCTTCCGTGCCAGTCAAAGTGTGTGAGGTAGAAGTGTGTCGGTGTCAGTGCTTTGCTGGTTGGCAGGCAGGGTGTTTGGAGGGTTTGTCACATTCATCAACAATTTTGATTTGACTCCTTTGGGGTCAGGGGTGAGATGGAGGGGGCAGGGTTTTGTTTGATGAGTCACTCAGTGCTATGTATAAGCATGAATGTTGATGAGTGTGTCTGTGTGTACTTTACTAGTAAAGGGCTATTCTGGAGAAAAATAGGGCAAGAGGCTTTCATGTCATAGAAGTCATTTGGACAGATGAAGAGAAAGATGTCTTTATCATTCGTCAGGTGGCGCACTTGTGTCAACTGCTCTTGTGCAGCCCGATCCTCAACTCTCATTAGCTGCCACCAGTTGGCCTAATCCCTGGCGCACAAACACAGCCTGGATTTCCTTGGTCTTGATGCAGAAATCACAGGCCCAGACGGCGGCACTCTCCCGTGTCAGCAGCCCGTAGGCTGGCTCTGTCAGGCCTGTGCAGTCACGGTGGAACCAGCGTTGGCACGATGCCTCACACAGGATGGCATCCTGGTCGTCGTGAACCTCCGCCATACAGAGGCCGCAAGGGAAGACCATACCTGGACCCCCTAGTTTCCCTGGACCAGTACCAGGCCCTGTTGATGTTGCAGGGGGACCAGTGGGAAGGGGAGATTGGGTGTTCGGAGTAGAGGTGGAGTTGGAGGAAGGATTTGGGCCAGGAGTGTTACCACCGTTGTTGTTGGTCATGTTGTTCTGACCTGCGTTTGGAGTCGTGTTTGGCATGGGTCCACCAGCACCAGGAGTGTTGTTCTGCTGATTGTATGGTGTGGAGCCAGGGGCCGAGTTAGGTGGAGTGGACTGCTGCTGCTGCTGGGTAGAATTAGAGTTAGAGTTTGGTGTGTTTGTGTTGTTTGGAGGCTGAAGCTGACTGGGTGGTGGATGCTGCGATTGGCCTGATCCATTCAGGGGACCAGTAGGAGAAGAGTTGGGGTTAGGTTGTGGTGGTGCTGATGGAGGCTGACCGGGTGTGTTGGCATTAGGCTGCTGGACATCAGGATGGCCAGAGAAACCAGCCCCAGGTTGTGGTGGACCAGAGTTAGGGGGTGGGCCAGGAGTGGTGTTATTAGGGGGGGGACCATTGGGATTTAGGTTAAGCTGCTGCTGCTGTTGCTGTTGTTGAGGCCCAGGAGGCGCCCCAGGTCCCCCAAAGTTCTTTCCATCCTCGCTGCCTGGCCCAGGTGGACTTAGGCCAGGATAGGGACCATCTTGTGAGGGCGGGAACTGTCCTTGAGGGGGCATACCTTGCAGTCCTCCTACCATGTTGCTTCCAGGGCCACCACCCATGCCACCCATCATGTTCATCCCAGGACCCATGCCTCCCCCCATTGAAGGCAGGGGGCCATGCGGGGGTCCCCTAGGGCCTCCACCACCAGGTAATGGTGGGCTGTTAAACGGATGTCCACCTTGTCCATGCTGCTGCTGTGGAGGCATGCCAAACCTCGGATGGGGTGGGCCGCCTCCTCCAGGACCTCCCATGCCCCCTGGCGACAACATGGGGTTAAATCCTGGCCCAGGAAGCATTGGTGGGCTGAAATTTGGTGGCATATTGAACTGGGATGGGCCTCCAGGGGGAAAACCTCCCCCACCACCTCCTCCACCACCTCCTCCTCCACTGCCTCCTCCAAAGCCAGGCATTCCTCCAAAACCAAGCTGATGATGAGGTCCAGCGTTGGAAGGCGGGCCAAATGGTGGCCTCCTGCCGGACCGACCGCCACCTGGTCCTCCGGGTCCTCCCATGTAGCCCATGCCACCGCCCATTCTGCCTGGGACGCCATACCCACTTCCTCCACCTGCACCTGGGCTTGGTAGGAACGGAGTGCCACCTGGTGCTCCAACTCCACTCGGCCGGCACGGGGGTCCAAAGTCATCATCAAAAGGATTTGAGGCCACCAGGTGATCCACCATGGGGGTTGGAGGTGGAGCGAACTCAGTCAGGTGAGAGAACCCTGCAGCCTAGAACAAAAGAATGTTACTTTATTGATTCAAATAAATCAGAAAAAATATGTATAAGTCCCTAACAACATTACTCCAATTCAAATGCAAATTAAATTTAGTTTTCAGTGAAAAGTGCCTCCGGTGATGCATTTATTTATTTCCCGTTTTCCTGACAGTGGTTTACCTGAGTGGTTGATTTCCTCGGCTTCTTCTTCTCCGGGCTCTTCATCTGTGAAGCTGAAATCGAAAAAAAAAAAAGAAATATAATATTACTCATAATAAAAAAGTGTTGTCTGTAATTGGTCCACCACACATTGAGTGGAGCATCACATTTGGATTGGCCAAAACCCCTTAGTGACAGAGTGGAGCAGCTTCAGACCACGGGCCTGTTTTTGAAGTCCAACAGTTGGAATGGATTCAATGATGGGACATAAACGGGCATGAAGACAAAATGCTGAACATCCAGGCATTATCAGCAGCAAGTTTATGAAGCCTTGAATCGCTTATGACCCAGTCAGACCAAATGACCCAGGCGAAAGGGAGAGAGAGGCCGCAAACAGAGGCAAGAGGTCAATGAGGGAGACAGGAAAGGACAAGGACATGAGAACAAGAGAAAGCTGAAGATACACCAATAGCAGGATAGACATCTACCCGGGTTCATGGGTCCATTCTATGAAAAACAGCCACCACCGGAGACAGTCGTGAAGTTTACATATGTGGGCGGCAAAAGGGGAGGTTTGCTAACAGCACCAGTGCAGCCCACTGCAGCGCAGTAATGGATGATTCCGATCTGATTGGGAGATGGGTGAAATTAAAAATCCTACCTTTGTTTCGTTTTCCTGGTCCCGCCAGTAGTCTCCCCGATTCGGCTGCCATTAGCTAATATGACTGTCGGTGAAGTGGCACATCACCATTCATATGCAAGGAAAAAAAGTTCAAAATAATGACGTCTTGAAGGCTAAATATCAGCCAAAGAGGTGGGAAAAGTGCCTTCAAGTCATGACAACAACCATAGAGTGGTCACCATCATAATCACAGCAATGACTGCAGAAGGTTCAGGTTCAGAATTAGTATTTTCAAACGTTGACCCAGGTCTGCAAACTTATTTCCAGCTGCAAATATTCGGCCACGGGTTCTGTCACGCTGGGATTTGGTCACCAAATTAATGTCAGTGCTTAGTTATTGCATCAGAATAAGTTGCTTTTTGCAAACCATATTTAATTTCCTATTTTTATTAGTTTTTAATAGCTACATGTCCCATCTGTTGGAGCAAGTAGGTTGCAAAGCAGCCACTTTTTAATGATCACTTACAGATGTGAAGCTATCTGGCGCAAGCTACTTACTGCTAAAGCTTACTAGCTAGCCACGTTATCAACGTGACACACTAGCGGCAAATAGCAGTAAGGCTGGTGTACAAATACGAAAGTGCTATTTATTTTTCTAAAATAAAACTCCTGCTTTTCACTGCAAAGATCACAGCACGTATTCGTTAAAGCAAACGATGCCGTTGTAGGAAAACAGTTCCCACAGCTAGCGTTAGCATGTGACTGAAGACAGCCTAGCCATCTTTGCAGGCTGTCTTTGAGAAACAAACTGTACCCTTTCTCTCTCCGTCGCTTGCTCTGCTGTCCGTTAAATTTAAACTCTCTGGTGTTCCATTTCCAGCAAACCAGTCCTCACACGGTGTATGCCTTGACGATCCACCATTCAATTATAATTCATTCAAAAACGCAAATTTGGCCATAATTATCATGGCCCTACTGTCGCTACCGGACAAAGAGGGGCTAACAGCAGGAACGCGCACCGCGGATGGTTCCATTCCCGAGCAAAGCGGGGGTGTTCGTCGGTTTCGTTGACGAATATTTCATAGATAATTTACAGCATTTATGAAAGACAAAGTAACTGTATCGTGCCACCACGAAATTAAACGAGAGCTATGTAAACTCACTAAAGTAGTCACTTACAGTGTGTTTTTTCCAACATGGAAAATCACTGCCCTAACTTTGGATGTTAAAATGGCGCAGCCCAGAGCGGACTATTTCCTCAGTACACCCTACTAAATTTAAATCACGCCTGTTCCCTCATTTGATATTAAATTATGTATATTATACCATTGATGTAATTAATATCCAAGTAATGTGAATAAAAAGTAATATGTTCATCTTATTTTACCCCAATAGCCATTTATGACAACGTATGTTAAACATAACCTGAACAAAACTAATAATGTAAATAATGTGCAATATTTATTCTATCTGAAGTAAATTTTCATTTCTGGCACATATATTTTGTACTATTGTACACATGTTAAATGACCACAAAACCTCAGTTTCAATAATTTAATTCTTGTGCTGGTTAACTAAAATTAGTTAAGTAATTAAAATGAATATCAGTTTAAACAACAATCCCACAACATATGGAGTGGTTTTTACTATACTATACTTAGATTAACTCCAAATGAATTATATAATATAATATTCTAAATATATCTATATTAATGTAGAATTTTACCGTTTACTATGAAGTGATTTTTGTGATCCCTTAAATGTCATAACTTGATTTAATGTGGCCACTCATCTACATTATATTTGGAGGTGAATCATTCATTTTATTGAGTAATTAAGTTAACTCTGTTTTGTGTGTTGATTTTTTTAAATTCTTTACATCTAATGACATTATAATCCCCGCCCACCAGCTTTTGTCCTGCCTTCCCTGTTTAACTTCAGGCCCCCTCCTCCCTCCTCCGTGCTTCAGTCTGAACTCTGGAGTCTCAGTGTGACAGAAGACATTTGACCTAAGAGACACCACTCTGGGAATGGGATCACAAACCAGGAGCAGGACAAACTTTTCCTTCCTTTGCCTTTCTTTACCCAGAAGACATCTCTTCATCCAGAGGCGATAGACACAGAAAACCAAAGAAGAAGAAAACCACACATGGGATAGAGCAGGAGAAAAATGTTTTTTTAATTGTGTTTTCTTTGATCTGCTTCAGAGTGATGTGCTGGGATCCTGTAAACTAGTCCACACAGGTTGGACATCTCAGAATAAAGCAGCGGAAGTCTTTTGTGTGAAAAGCAGTGATTTCCAAAGGTGTGTCTCTGGGGTCCTGGTGGTGCATGGCGCTGAAAGGTGGAGGAAAAAAAGACACAACACAGTTCTGCTGCTTTCCATCTGAGGTGCAATGGCAAAGTGGTTCAAGGAGTTCCCTATCATCAATCTGAAGAATGGTACTGACAGGATCCGCTCAGCCTCAGAGTCAGGATCTCAGCCCAGGGCTGCTAATAAAGGCAGCCTGCTGGTGGCCAGCATTGGCACCAAATCCACAGGATCCAAAACCAGCAATCGTAAGAATTCTTCCACGGACGGAACAGTTGGAGGAGTCGGGTCACTGCTGTCAGGACGGAACCGAAAGAACTCGGCCGCAGAGGGGAGCAAGAGCGGTGGAGCTTCCCCCAAGGATGGGAAAGTTTGGGACAATCTTCTCTCCGGGAAGAGTAGAAAGAACTCCAAGGTGGATCCACCGGTGTTTGAAGAACAACCCAGGACGGTGAAGAACTCCCCACCTGCCAGTGCCTACATCAACAGGCTGATCAGACTGGACAAACAGGACAAGAACTTCAACAGTGGTACCATCAGCAACACAGCGATACCTGAAGCAGAGAAACCTGCGGCCCAGTGCAAAACAGAAACAGTGAGTCATAATCTGCTAATCTAATCTAATCTAATCTAATCTAATCTAATCTAATCTAATCTAATCTAATCTAATCTAATCATGAATATCACCTTGCTGGTTAAACAGTGTTCGTTCCGTCCAATCATGAATATCACCTTGCTGGTTAAACTGTGTCCGTTCCGTCCATCCATGAGACTCACACATTTTACAGGACACCTTTTATGCCAGGTCAGATTTGTTTTTAACATAATGACTTAAAAGGTCAAAGATTTTGGTCAGTGAATATTTAATAGCGCCACCAAGGCCTACAATACACAATTAAGATAAATCAGATATTGTTTTTACATATTTGACACATTTTAATTTACATTTTTTAATATTTTACTCACTGCTAAATATAAATTGTATATCTTAGCTAAAATATATATTAATGTGGGTTTATTTTCTTGTAGAATTACTACAGTTTGAACTAAAAACATTTACTGTCATTTTAAACAACAGGACGAGGTTTTTAATGTTGTTTAGTTTTCTTCAAACCATAGCTCATTGTTAGGAATAACAGAGGAAAGAACACAGTGACTGGAAATGATGAGATCTGATGTTTTTTGACTTGCTGTATTTTTAACAAAGTAGTAAAATATAAGACATCGTCAACTAAGTCCTGCAGCAGTCAAATGAAAATATCATGGTGTCATCAGTATATTGGTGACAATGGTGTATCCGGGATCCAGTCCAAGCTGTGAAAACTGATATTAATGTTTCTTTTCTCCCCCACTCTTTGTGTCCGGGACATCCTTTGTCCACGTCCACTCCTCCCAGTCTGTCTTTCTATCTTTTCACCTTCACCACCCACCTTCCCCGCCTTGAATACAAAGCCATGTTCAGTCATGAGGCCTTCTCTCACCTCCCTCTCTAGTAATCTGGTTCACTGTTCCTCCCCTATCACCTCCCTTCCCCCTCCCTCCCCTGTCCCTGGTTCCTGTCTTTCACAGATGCAGGCCCCCTGGTGAAGGCTATCATATTATAAAAAAAAGCACATTGTGTTATGTGACACTTAGGTGCTAACCCAGGTTCCCTCCAGCTTGGCTTTGAAAAAAAAGGAGAGAAAGGGAAAAAGGCAGGGAGGTGATAGTAGAGGGAGGGTGAGGATAAGGGCAGATAAAAGACCGGGGTAATAAACGGGAGGTTTTATGTTGCAGAAGGGAGTTCAAATCTCAGTCTTTGTTTTAAATATCAGACATAAAACACCGGTTTGAGTCAGAAACTTCAAGTTAATTCCCGTACTTTTACGTGTCCTGCACGAGTCAGAAACTTCAAGTTAATTCCCGTCAAAAGTTTTGTCAAAACGAGTCCCTCTGTGTCTTTACCTGCTTTGAATCTGCAGCTCAAAACCTCAACTGAGGTGGTTTTTAATTCAAGGGACAGGGACTTTTTTAAAACCGTGACAAACCTATCAAAGAGTGGGAGTGTTCAACGTGGAGTGTTGTGAGAGACAGCTTCATTTTATAGCCTCAAGTCTTACGTCTTTGTGACAGCTTGTAAAATAAACACAGACATTACGTGGCTCTGATTAGATGACAGCACAGTCAGGCACGACCTGCCTGTTAGCACAGGGACCTGAATGTAAACACAGAGGCTTTAAACTTCAAGTCTATTGACATTTACTCCAGAGTTATTATGGGACACCTACACATTATTCAAATTATAAGTAAATTACTGTGAGGAAAAACTATTACTACAGTGAAATACAAAGTCTAACATTGTGTTTCCTGTTTTAGTTCCTGGTGTCTACAGATACAGTCCATTCAAATGTTTTTTTTATTTCTAAAGCAGCTGATCATTCTGGAGGACTACGCTGATCCATTTGACGCTCAGAAGACCAGAGAGCAGAGGGAGGCAGAGAGGGTCGGTGAGAACGACGGCTACATGGAGCCTTACGACGCCCAGCAGATGATAACAGGTGAGCCTGTACTCAGTGGTGGCAGTGTAGGAGCTCCTCTGCAGAGTTGACTTAATAATGGGTTTAATGAATTTACCCATTATTAAGTTAACTCTTGCAAGTTTAATAAAACACCATACTCTCCTAGTGGATTAGATAGAGAAATAACTGGAGACGACTTAATAATGGGTTTAATGAATTAAATAGAGTGGATTAGATAAAGAAATAACTGGAGAAATTTTTTAACATAATTTTCTTTGACTACATTCTGTACCAAACTTTTTGCACAAAAGTCTTCCTCCAAATAGTTCCCAAGGAAAAGCTAAAAAACTGGGAAAATAAAAAAAATTAAAAAAAGACTCAAAGGTAACTGCTAGTAAAAGAGTCAAAGGTAATTGCTAGTTAACAAGCTAACAGCATTAGCACTACCATTCTGTACATAATAGGTTAGGGTTAAAAACCACAGCTTATCTTCACTTTGTACTTGTTCCCTCGTCCTGTTTGTGTTTTTTTGTTATGGCAGTAGTACTTGGAAAATACATATGTACAACTGCATTGTGTAGCACCTGTGTGAACAACAGGATTCTCAGCCCCAGTCTGTGCAGTGACAGCGTGAACTGGCTCCTCCAGTTCTCCCTGTACCCCATGGGGTTGCCACAGCAACTCTGCTACGTTCGGGACAATGGGTGCAGTTTCCTGCTCCTGCTTCCTCTTTCCTGTCTCTGTTTCCTGGTACTATTCTCCAAAAAGGAAGTTGGCCCACGTTGCCCCTGCCTCCCTCCCCCTCTTCTCGGATGCAGCTCTGTGTAAACCCCTACATGGACCCGTCTGACCATTTATCACCACTTCCCCGCGTCCAGGATGGCTGGTGGCCTGTCGTCCAATTACATGCTCTGCTGACCTTTCCTTCCATCGCCCCATTGTTTGAACTGGAAGGGGTGACACAATGGCCCGCTGTGAACGTGAAAATGTTTTATTGCGGTGCTTTCTAAGTAGGTGTCACTTCAGTCAGCTGCTGGGCCTCTTCAAAATAGACCTCCGAGGATGTGAAGTTGTGAGCGAGTCAATTTACGAGGTTTAAATCACAGAGAGGAAGTGAACGAGGATCTGATGTCACCAGGAGTTTAGGAAGAAGGACGCAAATGTGTGTCAGCAGACTGGGACTCATGAAACACTGTTTACCTTAACACAGGACCTACTGCTGAGTTGAATAAATAAATGGAGAAGTTATGTAAGAGTTTGGAAGTGAGATTAGAGAAGCAACGCTGAGATGAAAAATGGACAAAGACAGAGTTCAATCTGTGGTTTTCTACCTTCTAGAAATCAGACGCCGCGGCTCCAAAGACTTGCTGAGGGTCAGCGTGTTGACAGAGGGCAGTGAAGTGACGGAGGAAGTCCCGCCTTCTCCGTTACAGATCTATGACGTCCCGTACGAGGGCAGCGGAGACGCTGACAAGACAACGGTCACACGTCCAGAGCTTGACCCTCGTCCGTCCATGGAGTACGAGCTGCCGTGGGAGTGGAAGAAGGAGCTCATCGTCAGAACTCTGTCTGGTAAAAAAATCAACAACCAAATCAAACCTCAGTCAAGTCTGTGGTTAAGGATAAAACACTATTGGGTGTCATTTTTTTATTGAATAAAAAATATTAAATAGAATAATCTGATTTATATTAACTACAACTGTTCTCTGAAACTTTATAATAAAAACACTTAATTTTTATTGTGTATTTAATATTAGCTGCTGTAAGAATGTAAGAATGTAAATATAATAAGAATATATATACAGCAGCTGATGCAGGAAATGTCAAAGTTCACACGAACTTTCCAAAAGTCAAATTGTCTTTACTGCACCGCCCTCTAGTGTCAGAAAGTGTTCGAGGCTGCAGCTTTGTCATATTCTGTCAATACTATTTAATATAACAATAACTAACAGTTGTTTCTTCTTTTTCTCCCCCTTCCTCTTTTTCTACCCAGCACAGTTCGACTGCCCTGAACGCCCGACCAAAGATGAGATGCCCTACTTGACTCTCACCCGGCAGCCTCAGCATCCGCCAACGCAGCAACAGCAACAGCAGCAGCAGCAGCAGCAGCAGCAGCACCAGCATCAGAGACAGAAAAGCTGGACCCAGAAGATCCTGAGATCCTCTCTCCCATCCCTGTCCCTGTCCTCGTCCACAGGGGGCAGCACCGACTCGGACCCCTGCTGTGTGGACCCGTCCCTGCCTCTGGAGAAACAGAGGTGACGAACGCGATTTTTTCCTAAAACATCGGCATCAAACGGAGCAGTGTTCCCCGACTGTTTATCACTGACGGCTCGTGGATTTTGCCCACTCTCCCACAGTTGGTACCACGGCTGTGTGACGCGTCAGGAGGCAGAGTTCCAGCTGCAGTCCTGCAAAGAAGCCAGCTTCCTGGTCCGAAACAGTGAATCCGACCACAGCAAGTACTCTATCGCCCTCAAGTGAGTACAAGTGGGAAGTGCATCACCCTGCTTCACAGGCGAAGTTTACAGTTTCAGTGGGATTTCATTCCTTAGCTTGAAAAGGCGTTAAAATATGACGTACGACTGAGTAAATTCCACACCTGGAGGCCATGAGTATTTGCCGTTCCTGTAGTTTTACTTTATATACCATGACATTAAAAGTACGAGGGTATTTATGGTCAGTAGTAAAGTTTATTGCCCACATATTAAACGCACGTTACATCTTATTCCTCAGTAATGACAAAGTTACAGCCTGTTTGGCTCCGTTTTACTACAGTAAATACTAAGTACTCCGTCCAATACAGCTGTATTCACCCGGTACATTTACCACAGTACTGTGACCAGAGTACACGTTACATGAGCATTTGGTTTTTATAACCAAGATCAGCATTTAGCCTCAGTGTGTGAGAATCGTGTGAACACATGTGAGCCAGCAGCCAATCACAGAAGAGGCAGGGTGAAGGAGTACTGACCGAGTACTACAGAGTACAGATCTGTGCAGCTGTACACCTCTGACTCGTCTGTTTTGTTCCATTTTCTCACATAACCGTCCTGTCTTTGTTTACACTCCAATAACCTTTGAACTCTGTTCAGTAACATTGTTTATCTAAGGAGCAGGAAGAGCGAGTCTTCACCCAGAGTGTCCTTCCCCCCTCCTCTTCATCCTTTCTGAGTGTGTCCTCCCCCCCTCCTCTTCATCCTTCTCCTCTTCCTCTTTCTTCTCCTGCATTTTCTTCACCAATTTCTTCGTCTTTATTTGATTTTTAAATAACTAACATTTTAATGACATAAATGATAATGAATTCACCGTATGATTCCAGAGCTAAGTTAAACCTGAACTCTCCCTCTTCTGCTCTCCCCCGTGTCAGGACCAGTCAAGGCTGCGTTCACATCATCGTGGCTCAGACCAAAGAAAACGGCTACACCCTGGACCAGAGCAGCTGCGTGTTCCCCAGCATCCCAGAGGTGGTGCACCATTACTGCACTCAGCGTCTGCCTTTCAACGGCGCTGAGCACATGACGCTGCTGCACCCAGTGTCTCGCATCCACTGACCTCACCCCACCCCACCTCACCCCAGCCCTGCTCTCATTAGATATACAAAACAAACACACCTTTGGGCCTACTCCAGAAGACTCCAGAATAACCAGCCGCCTCCTCGCACCTCACACAACTGAACCCTGTCTTTTATTTCTTATACTCCCTATGTTTGAAAAATCTAAAAATAGACTCCAGAATAACCAGCCGCCTCCTCGCACCTCACACAACTGAACCCTGTCTTTTATTTCTTATACTCCCTATGTTTGAAAAATCTAAAAATGTATCTCTAAATTTCTTCATTTGTTGCCTTTTTTATTATTATTTTTTTATTGTTGGGTTTCATGCAAAACAACCAGACGGCTGCAGTTTTGCATGTGAGCCAGGTTGAAGAGGAGGCGTCCAGGCACTTTTTACTGACCAAATGTGACTTGAAGTTGAATTCCAGAGCATCGTTTCTCCACTGTGACTCAAAGACACATCTGCTTTTGTCATGTTGCTCGACTAAATTTACCATGAAGCAGGAAATGCTCCAGACACCAGGAAATATTCGGCTGCTCTCTCTCGCCCTCTTGTGGACGAGCTGACGCACTACAAGAAGCCAAAAACGAACACAAGTTCCCCCCGAAGCTAAACTTGATAAAATCCGTGCAAATCAGCGTGTAATTGTCTCACTTTATGTTCGATAAGATCTCAGAGCAGTTTGTTTTATGTGTGCGCTCCTAATTTATATGGCTGTAGTCGGAAAACCACTGTCCCTGAGGTTTTTTTTCTCCTGCCTGTTGTACTGTGAATGAAGGGGTTGTTTATTATCTCCACTGTGAAGACTGAGTGATTCACCCCAATGCAATCTGTTTGAAGACGGACTGGCTGCACAATAGAAACAGGGTCTTTCAGCAGAAGAACAGAGACTGGTTTTTATACCAAGAAAAAGAACTGTTCTGAAAAATGTGTGATGATCAGATAACTCCTCACTGCACGTGACTTGGATTTATGGTAAGGAAACATTAAACCCAGTGTCAACCTTGTAAACGTGTCGTTACATTATCAAGCTTTATAAATTAAAGACATTGAAGGCTACACCACTGGAAACAAAGGAAAAGAAGTGATTAAAAACACCAGCCTTGTCATAACTTGTCTTTTTTTTGAAAATGTGGTTCATCTGGTTAACTCAGCACCAGGTTACCTTGGCTGGAGTCACTCCTGCTGTGGAAAAACACAGTTATTTAATAACAAACACTCATTGTGAACCCACGTGATCACTTCTTTTTAACTGACATCAGTGAATAAATGTTGGGCCTTAATCTGTCTGGAAGAAAATCTAAACTCACCTTCAAAAGGTTAAAGCAGATTTGAATTTTGACTTGAATTGAAACAATGAGGATTAGCAACAAGTTTTAGTATAAATTAACCACCGTTTAATCAATAACTAACAATTAACTATTATAATACAAATATAATTATAACAGAAAAAACACACCACAAACTCTGAGAGGCTCCAAGTTCAACCATAAGAGAGGGTTTTAAATGTGTACTCTGCACCCCCTACCGACGAGAAAAAGAAGGCACATAATTAATGATAACCTAGTTAATGAACAAACGGCACTGTTTACCCTTCTGGTGAGAACGATTCATCAAAATGCCGTTAGCAGTGGTGCCGAGGTATAAAACGAGACGTGGTTTCCACATATTTACTGCACAACGTCTCATTGTTTGCAGGTATAAAAGGTGTAACTCAAACATGTGTCCCTGTGAGTCTTAAGGTGATGATTTCGATCACTTAGCCTAGAGTTAAGCACAAGTGGTATAGATACAGTAAAGCAGAAACGTTAGCTCATGCTGCTTGGCGGGCTGCCCTCCAACTGTCCTCTTAGTGGATTAGGGAAAACCAGTTTGTGGTTTTTGGCAGCGTTCACACAACACTGATCCAAGGAGACACACCTGTCATGCGTTGTTCACGGTTGTCTTGTGATAAGTGAAGACCTGATTCAAACCCAGTTTGATAGATTTTAATAACAACTCCTGAATCCTCTGTGAGAGTCACGCTGATCCCCAATAAATCAGGGAGGAATAAACAGCAGAAATGTACGGCTTTACTTCACTCTCTCACGCAGTGGAATGAATAGATGAGGGCATTTCTGAGTTCAAACTCAACATTTTCTCATGCATACAATACTGAACCAAAATTAACAATCATTCGTGGAAATGAAGAGAAAATGCCTAACTGACAAATATTTCCCCAACCTTCCCTCACCTCCTGCTGAGTCTCAGGGCTTTAAACGTTTCAGTGATTTGCCTCGACATTTAAGTCCCCATTTTCCTGAAAGAGTCAGAGGTGAAAGGTGAGTTAGGAAGATTAGTTTCAGCCCAGGTTCACGTCTGAGGCCATGAGGTGATGTATAGCTGAGAGGAGACCTGAGGTAAAGGCTGCTGCTCCAACAGATGGAGAGTAAGAGTAGGTGTCATTACAGGCCTGTCAAGGACGTTTAAAGTCAGGGAGGGAAAAAAGGCAGCACCTGACACCGTGCCTCTCTCTCCTTCCCTCCTTTTCTTACATATCACTGGCTTCTCTCCTTTACCTTCCCTCACTCTGACGCTGTTATCTGAGGCTGATATGTGTCCGTCAGCTGCTTCTCCTTCACTCAGCAGGAGGATGCTATCACTGTTTGGTGCCAAAGTTTGGGCTTTTAATTTGAGGAGATGAGTTACCCGCAGGTTTCGTCTCTCCAAAACCACAGATAGGGTTCAGTTTTCCCACGAATGTTGCGTTACCTCATAGATAAGTGACTGCTTGTTACCTCTTGATCTGCAGACGGAGGTGATCTATGAGATCCAGAGATCTTCATCAGGGTTGTCCAGAGGATTTTTCCAAGGGGCAGATTTCATGACGTAAAAAACCAACTGACTGTGAATACATTAGGTAGAAAAGCTTCAACTTTAACATTTCAGGTCATAGCTAACATCTGAGCTCAACAGTTTGGTCAGTTTTTCAATCCCAGTTTTTAAGTCATTTTAGTTCTTTTTGCTCGTATTAGACTTTCTAAATATGTTCTTGTGCAATGGAAAGATGTTATTTAAGTATCTAGTTTAACTTGTAGGTTTAATTATGGTACCTATGCTTAATGTTTTGGTGTTTGGACCAAGTCTTTCCATAAATGGGAAAATGCTATTCGCACATTCCAAAATGCTATGTGAAACGTGCAACAAAAACACGACACCTGTGAGTTATTCTATAGGAATGTGTTGTTTTAGGCCCCGCAGGTGCTCCTTTAAATGCCCGGCAGAAAATCTCACCCTGAGAGTAACTAAAAACCACAGCGTCTGACAGGTATATCAGTAAAAAGGACCACAGAAATGCAGTGAGGGTATAAAGTATAAAGCCCTGCACTTCATAAGTCTCCTGCTCCTGTTGGCAGGGAGCTGGAGCCTGCAGCTCTTCCTGCGGCCCTTTATCAAGATGGATTTCGTGAACCTGAGGAACGCTGGTCCTCTCAGATTCCTCAGAGAAGAGAGGGCGAGCGGAGAGCTACACCTGGGAAGGAATTAATCATCAGATGATATACACCTGGATTCCCCGGCGCTATTGTATACTTTTCATTTTGTGCCACCTACTGTCACACAATCTGTGCGCCTGTGCAGCTTACATGGCAGCTGGACATGATCCGGGCCTGGTGCGGGCGTCTGATGGACGTACTGACTCGCGACCGGGTGTCGCTTGACCTGCTCCGTCGGTAATCGAAGTGCCCCGGCCGCCGTTATCAGATGCGTCAGGCCTGTTGCCTGTGACACGGCCCGGCTTTGTGTTGCTCCTCTCCTTTCCTCACACAGGTGACGCCTGCCATGTGTGATCCGTCAGCACAGGGGCCGGCCTTTTACCTGGAATTGGCTCACCTGATAAGGTCAGCCATGTTTTTTAGATGGCGTTTGCAGGATGTCCTGCATGACACTGTGTGTGACGGTATGGCTGAAGAGGTCACGTGACTGACAGTTAAGGAACTGCCCGGTGCTGATGATGGACGTCCGTCCGACTGAAGCCTATAACTGATATGTCTGTGGTACAAAGACAACAAACATCGACTTCCTCCTCTGTGGAAATCACCTGCTTCTAATCAGCAGCGCGCTGGAAGCCAAGATACATCTGTAGTCTAAAATGCTCATAAATAACTTTCCATTATGTTCCAACTTAAATAACAGAGCTGCCCCGCCAGTCCAAACACTGGGGCGGGGTCTGAAATTCCAAGCCAAGCTGTAATACTTCCAATCCCCCTGTTGATAGTGAGTTACTGTGGATCATTTCCAGGTCAATTCAACGTTCCTTGAATAATTGTTTTGCAGTTTTTCTGCTGTTCGTTACTTTCTCTATTCCACCTCTTTGAGGGATGTTTTTTTTTTGTTTATATTATTCCAGCTGATCCTCAGCTAGCTAGTTAGCTTGTTGCTGTTAGTTAGTAGAGTTATTTAAAGAGATTTTTTTCCTGTTGATCAGCCTGTAACAGTGAGTTGAGTTTTATTTCTGACAAACCTTGACTCTTTGTTGACTAGAAACTACTTTATTTAACTAACGGCTGGTTTTACTCCAGCCAACATTTAGCCAACATACGTTTACATATCTTAAGGCTGTTTTTTAACCACTTTAACTCGTGTCTGAGCTAAACTTAAGTCGTGTGTATTTTAAGTATTTTTGCAGCTAAAGGTTAGAAACAAACATAGACAGAATTCCCCAAAATGTTGCTACTAAAACATATCAGTAAATAAATCATCAAATCATCCGCCAACAGAGAATCGTCTCAACGTCTAATTTCATGACAGGTCACAAAAAAGAAACAAAGAAACACGACCTGTCCCAGGGCTGGACCTGAGCCCTAGGTTGAACTTTGGATGCATCTAATGTATAATAAAAAAAGACATTTTTGTTGTACTTTTACTACATCAGCCATAAAGTCTACAGATAACACACTTCTTGTGCCACTGCGCTTGAATAAAAAAGAGCTTTGATACTGAGATACTGAGTACAAACGGACACTGTCCTCCATTATTTACACAGCCTTCAGCTGCTGCCGCTGCAGGTAACTTGGCCACGCTCCCTTTGTCCTACCTGTAGACGCTGACTGTTTGTTGCTTTAGTCAACAGCTGCAATTTAACGCTCGCTCTGCTAACAACTGGGTCGCAGGTTTCTGCTGAGGCCGAGTCACTGTTCTGTTTTCAATTGTTTACCTATCTGTGGCCTGTGTGTGTTCAACTCAAATATTCAAATCAGCCAATCAGAGGGAGCCTCAGGAGAACACAACAGCTGCAGGAATGAAAGCAAATAGGATGAGCTCCGCCCCGACACAACGACTGACCTGGATTTTGCTGTA